GGGTTCTGTATAACTTATAGACACATCATTTGAAAAAAAAGAATTTTTCTGTGAACTCTTACAATGATTAGTGTGTATTTAGTCTTTTTTTTTTTCTGAATTAAGTGATTTTATTCAGCTGAGTCAAAGTAGAAGCTATTACTTTGCACCTAGGATCAGATTCTGATCAAGTTCAGTTAGTTAACATGTTTTACTAGATAGCTAATGCTTGGCATGATCTTTTTGCTACTTTTTTTTTTTTTTTCCTAACAGAGGCATGGACACAGATAAAAGAGAATGAATGGGTAGATTCAAAGGTGTTGACTTAATTGGTGTCACTTATAATGTATTGTTTTCATACAATGTAAGGAATTGAAGTTTAATTTGAACCAGATGTCCCTTTTAAACTCTCCTATGAAGTCAAGTTTTTATAATGTATTAATGTTTTGAGGTTTCACAGAAGAAAATTCAAGGAGTAGGAAAGAAGAGAGCCTGCCAGAAGTATGGGAAGAGAAGTAAGAGTGTTTCAAGACTGCTGCCCATTGCTCTTATGATAAAGCTACATGGATTTGAGAAAGGAGTGGCCTAGAGTGTCCAAACAGAAAACAATTGAAAGAATCAAAAATGACCAGATTAGAAAAAATAATTTGTCTGTTATCGCAAGAAAAAAAAAGAAAAAAGTTTGTATTTCAGTGAGAGAGGAAGAAACAGGAAGACTTCACTAAAATTAGCTAGGCTAAATTAAAATTACATAATTATCACCTGAAAGGGAATAAGAATCTGTCTTGTAGATAAGAATTTGAAAATTAAGGCAAGGTCATAGTCACACAGCTTAAGATTCTTTTTAAAGCATGGTACTATCACCTTCCAAATTAGATTGTGTAAGAAATTACTGTTTAGAAGCTATTCTTAAACCCTTTTCTTTGCATTGTTTTTTCATAGGAAGTAGGTGCTTTCAGAAGAAACGTTTGATTCCGTGACTAGGAGGTAAGTTCCACATTTGGCCATGTGTTTAACTAATTCCTTTACTGTGCCTCATTTTCACTCAACATTTGCAGGATCTTAGATTGTTCTGTTATTTGACATTCTAGAAAATGAAAGTGTGAATGGAGCAGATACTGTTTTGCAAATGCATTATCTGACTCAGAGACCACGTTGTTTTGTGCTTTTAGGGGTCTCCAAAAGACTGCCTCCTGAGATTGGTCCTGTAAAGTAATTGTTCATAAGCTATTGATATTTGAACAGTGCAGCCACCATAAGATTTCATAAAACTTCAAACTGTGATTTTACAGACTTTTTTTTTGGTTGAAGGTCTCTTTTCCTTTTCTTTTCAGAAGCACACTCATTAGTCAACAAATATATGAGGAAAAATGTGTTGAAAAGCCAGTGTCAGACTACTTTAAATAAAAATTATTTAGCTGTCAGTTGCCATAGATATAAAAAACAAGTTAAAAGCAGCAATGCCTAATGTCTCGCTACTACTAATCAGAGAAGTCCAAATCTTAATTCTTTATTCAGTAAGTAGGAAAGGTTGGTCTGATTTGCAGTCCAAGAAATTGTACAGTAGAAAGGTTCTTAGAGAAGGCCAATAAAGTGAAGCAAGCACAATGACCAGGGGCATCATCATCTTAAGCTCTTTCCAGTACTTGGAGTCAGCTGTTCTGCAACCATTCTTTCTAAAAACTAAATAAAATAAGCAAAATGTATTTGAAATGGCAGAAATGCCTGTTTTTGATATAAGAGTCAAGGGGATATGCCTTTTTTTGATATAATAGCCAAGAGCATGGAGGGATCTACTCTTGAACTGAAAGGTCTATTTTTAGTTTCCTCAAAGAAACATGGATATGTTTATCTAACTCACTTTAGATACTAAGAGTATAGATGGGAATATATGAGGTAGCTGCTCTAAACACTTTTTGTCAGTGGAAAAATAGTAACTTCAACGTGCAATTCACCTGTCTAATTTTAGATACCTACTTTAGGGTGAGTGTGCCTTAAGAGTTATACATAGGTGACTAATTTATGTACTGACACTTAATTTAGTTGAATGGGTCCCACACAGATTTTCTCACTACCTGAAAGGAGGTTGGAGCAAGGCGGGGTCGGTCCCTTCTCCAGAGTAACTACCAATAGGGCAAGAAGAAATGGCCTCATGTTGCACCAGGGCAGGTTCAGATTAGGTATTAAGAAAGATTTCTACATGGAAAGAGCAGTGAAGCATTGGAACAGGCTGCCCAGGGAAGTGGTGGAGTCACTGTCCCTGGCAGTGTACAAGAGATGTGCAGATGAGGGACCTGGGGACATGATTTAAGAGGCCTTGTGGTGATGGGTTTACGACTGGAGTCGATGATCTTGAGGGTCTTTTCCAACCATAATTATTTTATGATTCTGTAACTCCATGATACTGATGAAACAGAACTTACCTTCAGACTAAAGTATTTCTGGTGATATGCAGAAGCTGGAGCCCCTAATTAAGTTAACTGTGAAACAGGGAAGCGTCTACAGATCTTGAGCAGCAAGATTAGCCAGAACTGAGAGAAAGTTTTGGAGGCTCCGGTTTTGAAATGAGTGTGTAATGACTGTCCTGTTGGCTGAGAAACCACCTGATCATATCACTGCCCTAAGAAAGAGCTGGAGCAAAATAAAATAGATCAATTTGTCTGCCACCAAAAGTGGTAAGTTCCGACTGAAGGACTATAAGTAATATAGGATGATAACATCCCATGTCCTTGACCATGTATTGATTGCATCAGTTATGTCTAAGTCTTTTATTACCTCTATCCCTACCTGATTTTAAAATTTTAAAAATGAAACCTTTAATATGTTATAAAAATGAAATATCCTGTGACACAATCCTGTGATTTGAAAAACTTGCAGATCAGAAAGGGGAGAGTATCACCAAAATGGGAATATTCTTTATTTGATATTAAAATTTAATTAATTATACTTAATTTCTAAATAGTAGAGCGCTTTATTTTTTTAAAAGAAGTTTTTCAGAAAACGCAGATCAAGCATTCAATGATATTTCCCAGTGAAAACTATGTCTGAATTCTAAATATATATAATAATAAAAGTTTTCATGCGTTGCAATCCTAAATGATCCATACTTCGATTAGCAAAGCAACATGATGTTTAAGTTAACTCCTCCTCAACAAGGGATTCCTCTCAGAACTAAGCCAGGCAATTTACAGTTAATTTATACGGGTTCAAACTGTGGTCAGAAATGGTTTTAGAAGCAGTGAAAATACAGTAAAGTGACAGACTAAGAGTTTTCCAAAATATGGCAGAAGTGTTCACATACATGTGGAATTCTTAGGCTTATCCTTCAGGGAGAAAGCTGGTCAGAGGGCATCAGGCTGAGAAGTAGAAGAGTCTGTTATGGACCTGGTGCAGAGAATAGTAGGAGCTGAGAAGTGAAGATGTAGCGCCACGGAGAAAAAGGTGACACACAGTGATGGAGAGAAAGAGATTTGAATAAGCAGTTTGCTTAGGGGTCAGTAGCCATTCAATACCTGTGCACATTGATTGTCTGTGATGATTAAAATTCAATACACAAGACACATTTTTAATTAACAGTAAGCCAGAGAGATCCGTGTGCATCATTGCCTCAAGTCAGAGAATGGTTGCTGAATACAGAGAGCTTTATGGGGACCAAGCTCACAACAAAATTTGGTGACAAAAGGCACTGAAATCCAGAAGAAACACAGCAGTAAAAAGGCAGACTAAGGGACATAATCCACAATAAAGTAACTGTACACAGTTTTCTCTGATCGTTGGTACAGATCACGCTGTTTTTTTTTTTTATATTATCAAAGAACCAAAAGTTTTTGAACATGTAGAAAAATATATATGTTTCTTGAAAATATTCTCAAAAGCTAAATACATTTATATTCATGATTAAAGGCTTTGGTTATCTTGGAATATGTGTAATTATTTGAATCTGCTCATGTTAAAGGTACAACATTATGAATACCTTTACTTAAATTAACTTTTTAAATAGTTTAGTTTAAACCTTATTAAACCTATTCAGAATTAAAATTCTAATGGTTTTAGCTTAATCCACATCTAAAATAAATTAAACTGAACAGAGTTGAGGCTATGTTAATTCTGAATATGTGTGCATATGCCCTTACCATTATTTATCAGTTTAAATAATCCAGTTTTTCTGAATGTCTTTTATAAGCAAACCTTATTAAATTTGTTTAATGTTGGTGCTCACTTTGCACAATGACTGCATAAGTAAGAAGGTAGAATGTCCATCATTTTTACCGAGTACACCTTCAGTAATTAGTCCTCTATTTTTTTTTTTCGCTTTTATGAAGTTAACTATTGCTTGTCCAAAGCTGCACTTCCTGAAGCAGTGAAGCTTGTGTGTGTGTGATTATACAGCTGTACCTCTTAAAACTCTAAAGTACTTAGTGACCAGTCTATGAAGTGTTGAATTCAGATCCATTTTTCATCTTCATGAGTAGTCTTATGAAGCAGATTTACTGCTGCTGTTTGTTACAGTTCTAAGGACCTATTGGTAGGAGAACAGTGCCTGGAGGAATTCAGGGAAGTCAGCTCCAAAAACACAACAAACAACAGTCCTAAGTTTTGAATTTGTGCAGGTTGCAGCTCATATTGAACTAGATAATAATCTCTTAAACCACAGGAAGGCTGTAAAAAGTTGTCCTAGCAGAGAGGTAATAGTACCTTTGTGTTCATGTCTAGTTCATACATGCAAATAAAACTGACTTATAGAAATGCATGTTCTATGTATTTGTACAACATTATAGCTTGAGTCTGTGGTGTCTTACATCCTTCTTCTAAAATATATATTTTGTTAGATGTATTTTACCAATTGTGTTCAAGTGTTAGGAAGTTTGTTTTGTGGCACAAATGAAACTTTACGGTTTAAAGGGAATGATTTACTGCAAAGAAATTCTGTCTTGCAAGCTTCCCTAAATCACCAGTAAGCTGATTCCTAAAACACAGGAGGGAGTTTGTCTGTTTTATATTCTTGTTTGTTTGTTTTTAGAATGGGTAAAAAAGTGAAGAAGGAAGTAGAGTCTCCACCCAAGGATGTGGTAAGTTAATAAACTGCTGTGCACTATAAAATATACATTACACAATTATGTGCCTGGCTCTACCATCCTTACATAGTTCCTTACTCCACTAGTTTACCCACATAATTCTAAAAATGTTTTTTAATGATGATTCTGTTTATTTTGGACAGCATGCAAACCAGGGTAACTGGGCGTGTCTGGTTCTTCGTGGAGCTTGTTGTCTCTGGCAGGCTTTGCAAGTAGTAACCTATGAAACAATCTGGGCTTATTTTTATTGGAAAAACAGTATTGACCTTCCACTTGTAAAAAATCAAAGGAGAGAAAGGAGAAGAGAGCCCCAAAATCTGCCAGTAGTTTGGATCTTTTGCAAATATACAAATTCACTATCAGCGGTTCGAGGTCTTCTGTTGTCGTTAAGGGTACTATGGTGAGAAGTAGTGGGACTGCAGCCAAATACAGACTCCAGAGGTTGGAGGTCTGGGATTTATGTATACATACATACATACATACATACTTTTTTGAGAGTCTATGCAAACCCATGAGCTAGAGCGGGACCCAAATAATGATAGCAATTCAAAATATAGACATTTTTGGAGTCTAATTGGTTTGTTCAGAAAGAAAAAGAAATAAGACTATTGACCAGAGTATAATGTAAATTCTGTACCAGGTGATAACTAAATTGATGAGGAAGTAGAACCCCAACCAGACCATGAAAAATCAGTCACTTCAACTCATATCCAAAGCCATGATATCACTGAGACTTCGCAGCTGATAACAGTTCTCACCCAACTGTTCTATGGACAGATGAATATTAAAAATGTAATACATAATCTGAAGACACCAGTGAATCCTCATGAAAGGAGGCTTGAAATAAGACTGTTAAAGAAACATGAGAGGATAAATAAATTTAAAGTCTTTTCTGCATGGAATAACCTAAAAAGCAAGGAAGGAGGTGAAGGAGTCAAAGTAGTTGTCTGTGTAAAATAGGCCTGAAGAATTAAACCAAGTATCTTTGGAGTCTAAGAAAGAAAGAAAGAAAAAAAAAAAAAAAAAAAAGGTAAGGAGACCATTTCAGTAAATATCTAGAAAGTCAGTAGAAGCAGAAGCATAGTTTCTAGATCCAAATGACACTATGAGAGTTTCTGAAGAAATGTGTGGTACCACCTCCTAACTACTATAATAACTATGGATAATGTTAGAAAAAGATGTTTAACAAGTGGAAATATTAAATGAATAGTCAATAGAGTGATTAAAATATAGAGCATTGGAAAGAGCGAAGTCCATTTTTTTCAGTTTTTGGCTTAAATGCTTAACATTACTGTACTTCAGAGTAGCACATTCCCTCTAGCAATCCTATCAGGAGAAAACAACTGAATGTTGCATACCAAAACTATTAAATATGAAAATAGCTTATTGATTAGTTCTAACTAGAAGCCAAACAAATATTCTAGCCAATTGAATATTGGTAACAGTGATCTTGTAAAATCAGATTTCAGAACTCTAAGCTTGGCTGGGGTATCTCAGATGACGGGAAATGAGACACAGACAAAGTACAAGCTGTAGTAACTAATATCGACTGCGTATTAAACTGTGCATGGAAATCATCAAGTTCAAGAAAAGAGACCTTGAGATAATGTGGCAGATAAGATGGCCTCTGTGCCTGCAGAGTGTCCTGGGAATATGTGGGACTGCAGGTGACCGCTGATTTTTGCAGATTTCTAGAAACAGGTGAAGAACCTGTTCTCAGCTTAGAGAACACTGCTTATACATACCAGAGAGTATTCCTGAGGGCCCTTTTGTCCCTGCCTTTCTTAATTTGGCTTTTATTTTCTGTGTGCTGATCTTCTCTGTATAGTATATAAATACTGCTTTCACCTTGCTGCTCTATATGGATAACCTTAAAATGTGTTTTAGATAGACGAAATATATGGTAGCTTTGGCATGATTGATAGGAACTTTCCATACAATATCTTCATTAAGGTTAGTCTAGAAGTTTTTCCTATTTGACCATCTATTGGGGCATAGATATAAAAATGGAAGTTTAAGCTTACCACTTGAGAATGTACTGAGGCGTCAGCCCTGAAAACTATAAATACCTGAATATTTTTGAAAACAGCTTCATTTACAACACAATGTTATAAAGGAAGCGATGCTGGAATATGAGGAGGTGGTACTGTCAACTCCTGAAATTCAGTCTGCGGAGAAACACTTTCTTCTGGAGTCAGTTTGACTCGAGTTTAGCAAGGCTTTCAAAAGTACCTGCTGTGATATACACAAACTGTGGAAGTAGGGACTAGATAAATGGACTAGCTTTCATGAGGCCTGAAAAATGGCTGAACTGCGAGCGGAAAGGGTTGTTATGGGTAGCATGAAGGCTAGGAGGAGGCAGTGTGAAGCTGGAAGCCCCCAGGGGCAAATACTGTTTATTCTCCTCGTTAATTATGTGGTTGAGGGGACAGAGCGCACACTGCGCGGGTTTGCAGTCATTCCAAAACTGGGAGGAGGGCTTGATCCACCAGGTGGTTGTGCTGCCATGGAGCGTTATCTCAACAGACTGGAGAAGTGGGCTGAGAAGCATCACATGAAGTTCAAGGAAGTCCTGCATCCGGAGAGGATAATCCCAGTCTGCAGCACAGGCTGGGAGCTGACATGCTGCAAAAAAAGCTTTGTAGGGGTTTGCCTTTGTACAGGTTTGCCTTAATTTGATTAATTTGTTAAAAGGATTAAATTGTAGAAATGATTTAAAAAATGAAATATGTATGTGATTGCATATTGCAATAGCGGAGCAGAAGCAACCTGACTTGTATGGAGAAAAATCTTATATTAGCAATCTATTCAAATTGTATAAAGAAATCAGTGAGCAAGGAGATAGTGATGATCTGTTTATTTAGATTTTTCAAGTCTTTAACCAAACTCCTCTTTGACATAAATGCTGACAGGTAAAAAAGAAAGTCCTCTCATGCCTATAATGTCTGGTTATAAAACAGAAAGCAAAGGTGAGAAGACAAATTAGAGTTCAGTTTATGTAATGGAGAGAGGTTGCCAGTGCCCTGTCATGGGGATTTATTCTGCAACCTGTGTCATCCATCCCATGAGGATTAATGGGCTAGCTTCATGAAAATGTCAGTCAGCAGCCAAAAACATGAGTTCAGCCTTCAAATTATTAATGAAAAAAATCAAAGGCAAAACACCACACCAATAACTATTCCATTAGACTTTCATATGTTGAATGCAATTAACAGTTGAGATTTCTGCATCTCAAAAAGGATACAGATGAACTAGAAAAGTACCAAGACAGACAGCAAGAATAATCAGAATAGCTTTTTAGTTGGGAAATATCAAATAGAGTAGGATTCCTCTTCCCAAAAAAAGAATGACTGTGAAAAGGCAAATAATAGAAGCCTAGAAAATTATGCATGTAGAGAGAAGGCAAATAGGTATAATTTATTTCTCTTTCTCACAGTGAAAGAACTGCGGAAGAAGGGAGATAGACAGAATTATCAAGTGATAAATTAATCCAAAGAAAAGGCACTGCTGTTTACCTAAGACATTGTTAACTATGATACTTATGCCTCAGTATTAAGGATAGCTAAAATACAGATGGCTGCAAAAAATATTTACTTAATTAATTGGCAAAAAAAGTTCTCTTGTGCTTTTTAAGCACAGAGGCAGGAGGTGAGGTTAGCAAAGGTTAATAGTCTGCTTGCGCTCGCTGGTTACTGGCCTCTGTACAGGGACAGGATGCTGGGCTAGATGGACTATTTAGTCTGACTAAAAACATTTTATGTTATTTTTGATTTAGCATTTCAAATCAGTGGGTTTATGGAAGCCAAAAATCTGATGCAGATTCCAGAAGCTTCCAAGTTAAATGCACAAAAAAACTTTATCATATATATATAAAAATCTCTCTATATATATGTTTTGAATTATAGCATTTTTTCATTTATTTTTCTTATATAAAATTAGAGTGGAAATATTACTGTTTATTAAACAAGATTTGGGGATTTATTTCAAGCTTGTGTGTGAGTTCAAACATATTCTAGCACTCAGTCTGGCCTGTATGTACCTGAGGAGAGTCCAGAGAAAATCAAGAAGATTTTGGAGCAAATCTTAAGAACAAAAAAAAAACCAAAACAAAATGAACACTAACTATGCTAGCATCATGTTGAGGAAGTGTTACATCCAGTTCTGTGATATTTTTGACTGAAAATATTACTTTCCAGAAAATCAATCAGGCTCAGACCTCTTTTTAAACATATGTTCATTTCAGTGACTCTTTTTACTACATTTTAAGTCAAACGATACTGCTAATAGGAAGCTGACCGTTAAATATTTCAGGCGGTAGCAGTGAATCTGATGTCTATATAAATGAGTAGATCAATTGACTCTGCTCATGCCCCAACTGTGATAAAGCTGGGGAATTGTCAGTGAATTGTAGTTTATACAATTACTTGTGAGCAGGAGAGAGGCAAAGGAAATGGAGCAGTGTGATAGTGTCTTTGGTATTTAATCAATATAAATAAATTACTGAGACCGAAAACTCTTATTCCATATTTCATTTCTTATTAAACTTTGTCTGAGGTCAATCTTTGTGTTTAATTTATTTTTCTCTGAAGGACTAACAGCATTTACTAAAAATTACAATTTCCTCCCAGCACCATGTATGTGGCCAGACTCAAGCATGCTGTTGGCAGTGAAGTTTCTGCAGGGTTGAATTTGTCTCTGCCTCTTTAGCTATAAATCACCTTTCATTCAAGGCCTAGTAAGATTAAAATCTCTGAAATAGCTTTTGACAGCTATTAGGAGCCCATTTTGAATTTCAGTAGAGAAATTGTAGGTTTAAATTTATTCTTTTATTATTTATATTCTTACTTCATAGCAGAACGTGTCATTAATGGAGGCTCCCAACAATCAGCATGGAGAAGGCCTCCAGGGCCGGGTGGAGGAAGGACGGCCGAGGTGTGGGAAGGGTCCTGCTCTGCTGCAGCCCCTCGGAATGCCCAGGTGGCCCTGAGGAGCAGCTGAAATGGAAGGGAGGATTCAGGGGGGAAAAAGGGTTTACCTTTCGCTAGGATAAAAAGTGCCCTGGCGAGCTCATACTCAGCATCTACATAAAGATTTTTGGCAATATAGCTGCCTTGGTCATAGAGAAGTAACCTGTGTGCAGCCGAGCTGCGGGTCAGCTTACAGCAGACACAGTTGTGGTGTCAAAGTGATACAATTTCTTTTGCCTCTTTTGGTAATGCAAACCTGCATCTGCACAGGTTTAACTCTATCCACATTAGGTCCAAACTGCAGATACAGTGTACCCATACTGATAAAGCAGTCGCAGCTTAAACATACTCCTAGTGTCCTCTGCTAATCAAACAGCTAATTGCAACAAAGTAATTGTTGATGTAGAGGTGCACCCTTCCCTTCTTGTGCTGGGGCGCAGAGCTACCTGTTGCAAAGGATACAGCTACGCTGGCTGCGGCCTATAAAGAATCATCTCAAAGGATTTCCTTTCCTGTTTGCCAAAATCTTTTTTTCTCCTCTTGCTGTGACCTATATGCTAAAAGTTCTCAATTTGCAAAATATTTGGAAGGCAGCATTTGTACGTATGGGTTTCGTTAGTGACCCTGTCACATCTGCTTAGTATTTAAGTAATACTTTATTTAAATTTACAATATATACGATTCTGAATTTGTTACCTGAAGGACCATTTAAATTTAAATACATTCTTGAAAAATGTCATGTCTTATCTTGTACTTTTATCTAGCATTACCTCCAAGGGACTAATCTAGGAATAGCCTAGAGTGGACTGGGATTTCTTTTTTTTTTTTTTTTTTTTTTTTTTTACTTGCTTTGATTTGGGAACCCATCAGAAATGCACATTGAGATGCCTGGGCCTTAACATCCTATTTTGCCTTATTTTTGAACATGTTCAGAAGGAGAAAAAGCTTCCTGTTTCTTCATTTTCCTTCCTCATATCTTTGATGAAGATTTGCTCCAAATAATTTCCTCGATTGATAAAGGATGTGTGTAGATCTCCATGCCCTTATTGTTCAGCTATCTGATATTTTAAGGAACCCACAGTGTTAGTATATACTGTAACAGCAATGCAAATTATATCCTATCTAAACAAATATATTGATATTGAGAAACTGTGAATGACTCCAGTGTGTATGTAACACATGCGCTCTCTGGCCGTTGAGTGTGAAAAGAGTGGGACAGGAGAGAGTTTTCACATATAAAAAAATGTATTTTAATTCCAAATGGGATTAAAACTTTTTATTGGGTAAAATTTTGATAAATTCTTGTGTCTTATTAAAGAACAAAGAGGCTTTTTTAGAAGAATGCCCTTTCTCAAACTATGTTAGTCCCAAAGAGTCTATTAAGAGGGTCAAAGCAGCTGGATTTGCGGGAAGATTTCTCTCAGTGTGAGAGGGGTCGGGGATGGAAACGAACACTTTGTATCACTTCCAGCTGGCTGAGCTGGGATCATATCAAAACGCTGCAGCTAGTACAGGATCATGGTAAGCGAGTGTTTGACAAGTGAACCGAGTTGAAGAAGGCTAAGAAAAGGTCACTGTGTATTTTTGAAACTATCACAAAATAGTAATGACACTGAGAAATCACATCCTTTCTCTCATGCAGCATCTAAGTTCATAGATTTTGTGCACGGCTTCTTCTTGCATTATTTTTCCCAGAGGTTGTTTCATGATTGGTTCTGATGCCTCAGGATGCTTCGCTTTCATACAAAGCAGAATTTCATAGCCTGTTGCCTTCACAGCTCCTTTCATGTACAGGAAATTGCCAAGGTTTCCCAAAATTTTCATACAAAATGAAATCATGAATCAATTTTGAAGTCAATTATTCTTCCTTATTTTTCAGCAACAACTCAACTGTTGTTAAAAAAGTGAAATTCTCTAGGTAAATAGAAAGCCATGATAGTATTTATAGTTCACTGCAGATCTCAAATTACTTTTTACTAATGAAATATGAGAGTCTACCAAAGCACACCGTAAGGCTCAGTGTAAACTCTGACTGTTCTTTCCTTGTTTTGGTTGTAGTTTGATCCTTTATTAATTGAAAGCAAAACAGCAGCAACGGCCGTGCTAATGCTCAGTTCTCCTGAAGAGGAAGTTTTGATCAAAGCATGTGAGGCCATATATAAATTTGCATCAAAAGGTTAGTCTTATTTTGATAAGCGTTGTTCTGCCTTGCTTACAGATAGTTGTTCAGAATTTTTTAGTTTGTTAGTGCTAACATCTTTGTTATCAAAGATTTCCATCAATTTTTTGGGGGGTCCTGCAGTATCGATCACACCTATGGTTGCTGTAATAAAGGACCAAAATCTTGTGAGTATTATGAAGTAAATTTTTAATTTTGTGCTTTCAGATTTTATAGATATTCTCTTTTTAATGGAGCTTCCTTTAAATGCAGTCTAATTCTGTTTCGTTATGGGTAACACACTAGCATCTTGGATTAGATTCTAATTTTCATACTAGAATTTGAAAGTTCTGCACTAGTAATAGTTCAAAATGGGAAAACAATTATTTCAATGTTCTTGTGTTTTGGTAGGCAGTGTATTTTAAATGAAAATTGCTTTTTAGTCTGTTTATGTTAGTTTTTCCTATTCTTTGTAAGAACTTCTATGATAGATAATTGCTGGTGATCTCTTAGCCTCCAGTAGATTCTTTGTAAGAACTTCTATGATAGATGGTGATCTCTTAGCCTCCAGTATGTAGCTTGTTTCTGCGTGTGTGGGAAATCTAACAAGTCTCTAAGATACAAATCCTCCAGGTCCCTGTGTGAATCACATATAATTAAGCATCATGTTCTGGATGCCCATTAGACAACTGTCTAACAAAGGCTCAAAACAGTCAAGTACATGATTTCCGAAGTTGTTTCCTACTCATTCCATACCACCCACTCCAGTCAAACTGGCATATGCTATTAGCATCCTTGGTATAATTCATTTATTTTTATATTAATTGTCATTTAATTTATGTTCCCTTAAAAGATTATGGTTTTGTATGTGCTGATGATTGTGCTGGTAGTAATTATCAGCACTGCTGACGTTATGAGAGAAAAGCTGAAGGCTTTGACGGTTGTCTAGGGATAATTTGGATTCTGAAAAATGTTTAAGTTCAGCTTAAAAAGGCTAGTTTGGCCAAGGACATGCAAACAATTTGTAAATATGTGAAGAGAGAACTTGAAATGTTGGGAGACAGCTCTTAACCGCCCACTATACGCTGGCTCCTTCCCTAGTGTCCAAAGTAACATATGGAATGCAACAAGATGACAGATATTTTATTTTACTGTTTCTACTAAATGAATAATCCTTTAAATTATTAATGTAGGTATTCCTGTAATCTTCCAGAAGACTAGACTATCGCTTCTTGCAGTATTGTACAAGGGAAGGGTTTTTTTCACCTCAAAATTTATTTATTCCTTGGATATTGCTAATAATTTAAGCCATACTCCTCAATAAGAGGTAGTTCCTGTCTTAATTGGCTGGGTTTTGGCCTGAAAGTGATTGTAGTTCTCTGGTTTCTTCTCACATTACCTTCTTTTACCCTGAAAGGGTAGGCAGCTTGTCCCACTGTTCTTTAGAGAATAGATTATAAGGCTGGTGCACAAACAAAGGGAAAAAAAACAGGTTTGGGATTTTTTTTCATAGGATGTAGAGGGTTTTGAAAGAGCAGAAACAGACGAGACTAATCATGCAAAACACTTGCTTACCTGGAGTCTATTCAGCTATGAAGTTCTCCATTCTCAGGTGGTGGAAAACTCAGAATTTAATGATCCAAATCCTATAAATTGCTTCAGTTGAGGAAAAGTGCCTGTCCATAGAATGAATTAGCTGTTGTTTTGTTTTGTTTTGTTTTTCCAGTAAAATAAAATAGGCAGGTAAGAAAAGAGGAAAGTAAAATGAGGTGCTGTAATAGCTTTCACCTCTACTTCCCCAGGTAGGAAGGTATCCTGCAAGGATAGTATACTGCAAGGAAGGTATATCTACTTCCCCAGGTAGGAAGGTATCCTTCATGCTATTCCTGCAGCCTCCAGGAAGTGAAGTGGGAGTCCAACAGAAAGAAGCATCCTTTTATTATACAAATGTGAATCAATCCTAGAGGCTGTTCCAGTGCTACATTCCAAGGAAATAGTAATATCTGATGGTGTTTTTAAGGACTATCCATCATACACATTAAGATGGGAATATTTTAATTTGAATAGTAAACTCTAGTACTGGAATTTTTGGCTTCTGAGTGCTTGACTTTTCTCTCATTGATGTTTCTTAAAGTAATTATTTTTACCACATATATTTGAAATATCCAGGTTGAGGTGAACTCTCTTATGACTGGATGGATTAAGGGCATTAATGACCCTAAACATACCTGATGGTGCAGAACCAAATTATATCCTTCCCTGCAGCATGCAATGGTTCTTCCTTACCATCACAGAGTACAGACAGGTTCTTCCTGACTCCTGTATAAATTTGTAAAAGTGTCAGCACTGGAGATCTCTTGTGCTGTAGTCTGTCTTTCTGAACAATTGCTTTGAATTATCTTTAAATTCAATTAATAGCATGCATCAACAAGGACATGGTCAAGCATGGAACCAGAAGCAAGGACTTCTTTGTTTCTGTAGTCCAATGAAAGATTGTTAACTACTGCTAACTTTGTTACATTAGAAATGTTGACTTCCCCTTACATTTTTACCAGATTTCTAACCTAATTACTATTCAGGTGATGAAAACAAAGTGACACTTCTTGGTCTTGGAGCAGTGGAACCTCTATATAAACTCATCTCACATGAAGATCCAACTGTACGCAGAAATGCCGTTACAGTATTTGGGATCATGGCATCGAATCGTAAGAGTCTCAATTTCTTAATATTTTTCAATGTCCAAGAGTATAATTGTTAAAGGAACAAGTGACCCATGTGAAAAATTCCTGTACTAACCTCCCAAACAAAGGACAAGTTTACCTCTAAATCTCCACTAATTTTGAAAAAAAAAAATAGGAAAAAGTGGATTTCCCTTCAGTTCTTATTTTTGATAATTCCAGATAATTCCTTATTTTGATAATGTTCCAGATCGGAACAGCCTATTTCTGGAATTCTGTCTGTCTGGAAAAGCCTGACTAAATAAGTGGACATAACATTCATCTTTTACATGATATTGATAGCAGTTGTGAAGTACTGAAATGTCAAACATTGGCATGCAGATTTACTGAGCTTCACTGGCAAGTCAGTGCTGATGTAGATGCTCTAGCAGTATCTGAGCTGGTAAAATTCAGCATGTCTCAAGTACCTTTTGGAGACATTGCATTCACATCAGTGTAGGGCATTTTCTAGAGCCATAACAGCGTATGTAGAGCATATAGAGAGTATACGTAGAGTATATAGAGTATATGTAGCGTTTATGTAGGCAGATGATCTGCCCAAATGATCTGTCCAGATTTATGTAGGCAAATGATCTGTTTTTCATGGTGATGCCCTAATCCCTATTAATGTTGCTTTCACCAACTGCTCTTTGCTTTTCTTGTTGCATTGAACCTTATGTCCTTTACGCTACCTTCAGGTCAACACTAGATCACAGTTATTCCCATCAGACCTTGGCATGCTTTGCTACCGCAGAAATACAGGTCTGAATGACTCTAGCTCTTCCATTTTAGTCACAGCTTTATTTTTTTCCCCTTAGAAGTATATTCACTTCATATCTTTTCTCTTGCATGTTAACACTGTGATGTGTTGACAGTCACAACACATCCCTTAAGATCACGACGTCTGTCCCAAAGAGTGCTTTTCAGTATTTCTAGCTAGTCATCATGTTTTTTTTTTTCCAGTTTGCTATTGACTACAATAGAAGTGCTTTCTGAAAGCCATTATTGAGGTTTTAATAAGACAAATATAATTTATGTTTTCAATTTGCAATCTGGGCTGTGTTAGCAGAAAATTAGAAAATGATGGCTTTAAAATTAAATAATGGAAGGATTGTTTTTAGTTCAATAGAAAGCCTTAATACCTATAAATAATTTTAATTATTAGGGCATGACTTTTTTGACAACTAAAACTGTACAGTGCTTAATAAGAACTAGCTAGATGCAAGTGAATGAAAATTTAATGAAGAATCAGGGAACTCTTCTGTATATCAAACAGCACTGAATATGTTGTCTGGTGCTTGAGAATCTCCTGTATATGTTTTCTGAGCCCATTATCATCTTCCTATAATTTGTGCTGGGTGTCACTCCCAGTTGGACCTTTTCCTCACCCAGGGAGTAAACTTAAGTGCTTTTTGTTTGAAGCAGAAGTCCTGTTTCTTTACTCAGATCAGTTAGCCAAAGAAAAGACTTCATATCTATGTTTATTTCCTTGTAGCTGATGTAAGGAAGTTGTTGAGAGAACTGGATGCTACAAATTCCCTTATATCACGGCTGGCACCGGAAGGTAACTTGTAGTATTCCTTTCTTGTACGAAAATGCTATTGGAAATAATGTACTATTACCATTTGATCAGGAACCTTAATAGAACACTCTTTATAGCTGGTGATTGTCGCAATACATATTAAAGTGGTAACTGCTTTTATAGGCACAGCTCAGCTATTCAGTTAGTAGTATTTTATATTGGACAGATGGAACAACATGTATATGAAAAGGTATGATATGATTAACATTAATGCTTATTGACTTTAAATAATGCTAAATTTGATACTAAAGTATCAAATTGGTGAACATATACTGTGTTGAATAAAAAAAAATGTTTCTTTTCCCCATAGAAGATGTAGTCGTCCATGAATTTGCTACGCTATGTCTAGCACATATGGCTTCTGAGTATACTAGTAAAATACAGATATTTGAGCAAGGCGGACTAGAACCACTTATCAGACTACTAGGTAGCCCTGATCCTGATGTTAAGAAGAATTCGGTTGAATGTATCTATCTCTTGGTGCAGGTAAAGGCTTTTTTTTTTTTTTTTCCCTTCCCAATTGAAGAGGCAGATAAGCTTTCTCTGCCAATCCCCTGCAGGGTTAATCATTTAAAAATATTTCATCCTTGTACTGTCCCTTATACATGAATGTATTTGAAATCACTACACCCAAATCTTTGATGGTAACATTAGTTTTAAATTAGCTTATTTGACTCTAATTTTGTTGACCTTAATGCACTTATCCTCACAGTACAGCAATGTAAGTAAGATCAGAATCAGATTCAAATGTGTTCTTAATTAAATATGAATTTGTTTTCTTATGTGGAAAATGTTAATCTCAGTAATGAGAGCATAATGCTTCTATCCAAAAGATAGGAATAATCCTGTGAATTAAAGAACCACAATTTGCCTTCTGCCTTGTTTTGACCAACAAGTCCCATAGTCGAGATTTTAAACATCTTTCTAATGATAGGTGAATGTTGTTAACAACTGCTTTCCATATTGGAAGGAGTAGATTTGTTATTGGCTTCTTTCACACTCAGAGCCAGTGTCATCCATATGCTGCTTAGCAGAAGAATGATGCATTTGTATGGCAGTTCTCTTCCCAGGCTGAAGCGACTCCATTCAATAATGAATTCAGTTTATAACTCTATCTCTTTTGGGGCATCAGAGCATGTCTATTCAGAATCACATTTTACTCTTTCCCCTTTCCTTCTATCTCACTGTCTTTGTTGTGGGGTATATCTGGATAACTGCACCTGGTGCTTGCTTATATTGATAAGGATAATTGCATGCTGCACATGTGCAATAAGCTATTTAAAACCAAATTGTGATTTATTTATACTTTTTCTTTCTTAGTATAATCTACTACTGCTCTTTATTAAGCAGCATATACACTGTTTAAATTTAATTTTTAAATTGTTATTTTATAGCTATTGAAACAAAAGAAGATGCAACCAGGCAACCATAATAATAATCTTTTCCCTCCAAATGAGGAAAATCAAAATGGTCAAACTAAATTTAAAAAACTTTCTCAAAGAAATATGTGTATGTGCAGACAAAAAAAAACAAAAGCAAGCAGGCTCCCTTAGACAGAATGAGATACTGCAGTGTATACCTCACTCATGAAAAATAGTTGGATTTTATGTTTGAGGGGAGTTTTTTATACAGATTGTTTGATTCTTAGCTGAAAAGAAAGAAATCTTCAGAACTGGCAGTTCTGGAGTATTGACTCAGTGTTGTGTATTTGAAATCAGATTCTCCCTGTTCCTTCTGTAAGTCAGGAATTGTTGTGCTGTTATGTTCTTCATCACTTACACTCTTCCTTTGAATATTTTACTGCAGGATTTTCAAAGCCGGGCTGCAGTTCGTGAACTGAATGTAATTCCAGCCTTGCTGGAACTACTGAAATCTGAATACCCAGTTATTCAGTTGTTAGCCCTCAAAACCTTGGAAGTAATTAGCAATGACAGAGAAACCAGGATAATACTGACAGAACACCAAGGGTTGGATTATCTCCTTAAGATCCTAGAAACCAAGGTACAGTTTACTTGCCTTAGAAGTTGCTGTTCCTGCTGTTTATATTTGTATTACTGATCAAAAATACTGTTCATATTATGGGAGAATGATAAAAAGGAAGGAACTCCTTACATATTAAACAATTAGAAGCAGCATACAGTTTGGTTTGCTTTCTCAGATTTTCACTTTGCCACAGTACAGTAGATAAAATAAAATTATGTAGCATTAACAGTAGATATGGAACAAAGGAATTCACCCAAAACTATGTTTTATTTGCTTAACGGGCAGTTAGTATAACTAATTGCTATTAGTTATATTGATTTGCATTTGCTATCCAATTCTCAAGCTGTTGTAAATATCAGAAAAATCGTAATGTAACTATTTATACAATGTTTTACCCAAATTGCTGGTTACGTGTTGAACTATACTTGGTGGTCATTCCTAGTTTGAAAGTTAGTCTTGCTTTCTAAATTTACTTCGATAGCAACAGCTATAAATATAATTTCTTACCTTGGAAATTTAATTGTTTATGTTAATATGAAACTCACTTTAGTGCTTCTTGCCTTCAGATATCCCTATATATTACCGCTACTTATTTCATCTCATGGGAAGTATGTTTTCTAGCAAAATTAGTAAAGTATTTGAAATATTTTGAAAAGTTTACTATCATTCTGAATACCTTCTGAAGCCACTCAGAAATAAACAATAACTTCCCTGTTTTTTCGCTGTTTTAGACAAGCTGTACTGTATCTTAAGGAACATTAGGGAAATTATATGAACAACATGAGAATTAAAAGATATTCTTGGTAATCTAAGCAAACTGTCCAAAAGACAGGTATGCCAATTATGCTACAAAGATAAAAGCTAAACATATTTTAATGCTGATTTGAAGATTATTTGTTTGTTTTTTCCCTTATTAGGAATTCAGTGATCTACACGTGGAAGCTCTTGCTGTGGTGGGGAATTGTCTTGAAGATGTGGATACTATGCAATTGATTCAGCGGTCGGGAGGCCTTAAAAAGCTGCTTTCATTTATAGAAGTTTCTACTATTCCTGAAGTTCAGAAGAACGCAGCGAGGGCAATTGCCAAGGCTGCTTATGACTGTATGTGACTTTTTAGAAATCTATGCATACTATTTAGTGAATTTTTTTATGAAGTGAATTTTCATGCAGCAGGGTAGTGGTTGTGCTGAGAAAGACATTGGCGAGAATGAGTTAAAATGATGAAGCTTGGCAATCAGAGCAGCAAGCGAATGCTACGTTGTACATATAAAGATTTTAAGATTTTCCCTCAATTCATTTGTAATATATCTGTGCAAAGTACTCTCCTCAAAAGCAGAAATGGACCCCAGAAACTGGTCTTTGTCTTCTATTTAGTGATGCCATTTAACTGCCATCTTAAACCTTCTCTGCCAGCACTATTTCACAGTGGTATTGGTTAAGACTTAAGCACAAGCTTACTTCCTTCTGCATTCAACTCCTCATCCAAATGCCAAGCATTTTCAAACACAAATTCCTTTAATGGGAACATGAAAAAAGCCCTTCACGTGGCTTGCAGATTAATATTCCCAGTGGAGTTAAATATTTTCATTGTCACCTTTTGTAATTACTCATCCTACGGTTCTTTTTTATAGAGTTTTCTTTAATTCAACAAGGAATTCTGAATTAGGCAGAACAGACTCATCATTTTTGCCCACAAGGATTCTTTTTAAATAAATCTGCATATGAAAATCCTTCCATACATTGGTTTCTGAGTTGCAACATATGCCTTGTACTGCTATATAGCAAAATTCAATGTAAGAAAGAATATATTTCTGTCTATTGAAGATTTAGATTCTGTGAAGGGATTTTATGACAGTAACTATGACAGTAGAGCTTAAATATTTTGTTCATATTTCCATCATTTCATGGCTGAATCATGCCTTTAATTTATGTATATTTTACAAATATATTACCTAATTGACTACATGGCTAGAAAAATCTCTCCTTTTCTGCAGTATTTCAGACCTTCTTACTTCTTATCTCAACTTATTTGTCCAATTCTTTTCTCACCTTTCTTGGTTTGACATCCAGAATGTTTATAATTATTTGGATTGCAAATTATAAATGGAAAGAGCAGAAGCTACCTTTGCTAGTATTTTGTAAGTTTCTGCATGCTTTCTGATGCTTCATTATTATCCCTTGGAAGCCTTACATGTCACTGAAAATTATCTGAAATAATGTTATCAGAGGTATGAGAGATTAGAAGAGTCCTGCTTATGCCAGTGTTTTCTTTTGTGTATTTTTCTTGTAGTTTTATTTTATTATGCAACTTAGGTTGGTCAATATTATTTTTATAGTCCTGTGACACACTTGTGAGTAGTATGCTATTTATATTTGTTCTTACTTTCTACTTCATGTTACTCCGTTTTCATATTTATTTTCACATAAGCATAGCCTTCTTTCTCTCTCTTCTTCATTTTTTTTTGTTTTTGGTGGCGTAATATTTTAGCAGCTGTTAGTAAAAGCATGTCTGAACACATTTTTAAAGCACACAATGCAAGATCTAAACATAATATGTTATAGTTCTGCATATGATCCTATATCATTGGATGTTACCGCCAGTGATGATGCATCTTCTTGTCACTTTTCTTTACAAATGGAGTCAATGTGGTTTTATTATAAAGGTTTGCTCTCTTCTTCAGCCTGTGACAGTTGGTATGGATGTGCTAAGTTGGGAAAATAGATCAAAAAGAAGATATAAAATATTTGGTTCAAAACTGAAGAATTTTGTTGACAGCCAGTTAGATAAATGGCAACGCATTGTAGTGGCACAGTGGAAAACACAGTCCAGTAAACTTGCTGCTCAGTATGGCCTCTGGAAACACTAAATTTATTTCACATACTCAGAGCTGCAGGTCTAGAGTCAGACAGAATAGTTCAAAGGCAAAAAGCAAGCAGAAGCAAAAAGAAGGCAAAAAAAAAGATTTGCCACACTATGCAATAGTTGTGTCTTTTGATCCTGCTTGGTAATATCCTGAACAGCCAATCCAGTCTACAATGCTATGCTAATTAGTAAATGTATTCATTAGTGCTTGACTTGATGTAGGATCCAATATGATACAACAGAGCTCTAAGTTCATATTTGACATTTTCATTAAATTTGCAATAGCCATACAGTAGCCTGCACTCTTCCGGTTTGATAAACATAGCTGTATTTTAAGAACATTTCCTGCATAGTTGAGAAAAAATAAATGCTGCTTTTCATTAAAATGAAAAACTGAACTGCTGCCATGATGGAACATGTATCTGGTTTTTACTCCCAACAGCTGAATATACAGCAGTGCTCGTTTTTGAAAGGTTTATCAATGACAGATGGCTTTTTTTTTTTTTCCTCATAGGTGTGATTGTAGCAAGCAGTTTTGTTCTGTGCCCTCTGGAAGGGGGGACTCCTGTAGCTTTTTTGTTTCTTTCTTTAGAAGACAGATGATGGTTTGAGAGCTATTCTCAATATCAAAATAACTTGGAGGCGCAAACGTGACATTCAAATTGAAATTGCATGCATCTTTAGGTTGCTACTTTGTTTAAGTAAGGTAAAATCGATCACATTTTTATACACAATCATTATCACTTTGACATGGAAAAATCATTCATTCTGCAACATAGCTCTACATTAATTCATCAATAGTTTTATTTTGTATTCTCAGAATTATGGCAGTGATTTTTATTCTGATTCTATTATTTTCCAGTAAATAATGCAGTAATTTCAGACCGCAAAATACAGTGTAGTTGTGTGAACTATTGAATATTTCAAGGTGGATTATCTGGACTGTTGATTAAGTAGGGCCTGACATTTCCTTTGCGCTGCTAGCTGCAACAACAACAAAACACTGTGGAGAAAGTGGTCATTGAGCTCCCTTGAGTTCAACCCCACTTCTGATCTGAACCTTTCCCAGTTCTTTACATGTATCTAATTGACCATCTTTTCAAAAGGGAAGATGGTAAAATGCTCTGTAGTCTGATTAACATATTTTTTTTTAATGCAGGGTTTTTTTCTACTTATTTGGGTTATTTCAACTCAAGGTTAGTGGGAGTTCACAAGACCATTTAGCGTAATCTTTTCTTCATTCAAAATTGGTATAAATAATTCTGTAAGGTCATGACAGAGAGCTGAGCAAAAAATGAGTAGAACTCTTTGATTGTGATTTTGGGGCAAGAAGAGGAAATAGAAAAATATATTGAAAAACAAAGGTCAACTCATGATGGGGTCAATGCATGAAAAACTGCTCAGAAGTGTTAGTGCTCCAGAGCCTCTGGATAGGTTGTGCCTGAGTATTTTGCTTGGTGTTAAATCAATATATTCAAATGACTTAGGGGTCAAGAAATTTAATCCCCCCCAAAATGGTGTTGGCACTGAGTATAAGCTGAGAGCAAAGGACGCCTCTTAGCTGCACCTTCTTTCTGCTCTATAGCAAGGCCAAAGGGAACAGCTCATGCAAACATAGAAAGGAACTGCAAAAAATGCTCATCTCTTAAATAGAATCGGCATCTGGATCTGAATACATTAATAATTTTCATCTATCTGTCTCACAGTTTTTCTAGATTACTGAAAAATATTTTTTATTTAAAACATCTTAAATAACATTTTCAGCAGTTCAGAGGAACTTTTTCATACTACAGTTTTTTTCATTTGGATTTAATATAGATGTAAAATACTTTAAAGTGGAATGTTTAGCCATCATCATAAATATCTATATGATTATTTATTACTACTAAAATAAACTCCTGAAACTTGCTGTATCAAAAACACATCCATGAGGCATGAAGAGTCTCTATAGATCATTATTAGGGATTATGGACTAGTTTGGCAAGCAACAGGCCAGAGGCATATTTGATTGCTTGTCAAAGCAGGCTGTAATCCCAATTAAGGGCTTCTCTGGAGAGCTGGCTGAGACACATCAATGTTGCAGCCAAGGTTTTGCTTAAAATCCTCTCCTTCCTGTTCTTTCTGTTACATGTTTAACATTGTAATTTCAATTGTATATTTCTGATGATTCTAAAAACATTTAAAACTGCTAGAGAAGAGAAAAAGTCTATTTTTTACATGATAGGCATCGAGTCATTTCTATCATAAGTAGATTTTCAGTCAAACCTCCTTCTCATTAACTCTGTTGACTATTATTCACAACATATTCAGTTTTATTGAAAAGGGAACTTAAAATATATCTTCCAAACCCGCTGGATGCCTCCCTGTGCCATGTGCTCTAGGTGTCCCTGCTGGAGCAGGGGGATTGGACTAGGTGATCTCTGGAGGTGCCTTCCAACCTCAGCCACTCTATCATTCTGTGTGTAATTCTGTGTGAAATCCTCTACAAAATATTCATTAATGAGGAAGGGCAAGGGGTATAGGACTTAAAATGCAATTTTAAATTTATTTTGCTTCCTTGATTCTTGTATTTTAATGGTGCTCCTCTAAGTTCAGTTACTACATTTTATTTGCTTGATTTTCTTATAGGGTAAACTGAAGGAAGGATACATTCCTGAGCAAGCATGATTCTGAAAGGGGAAAAAACCTGTTTTCATCAAGCCTCTATTCGTTATGTGGCATTAACTTTGCATTTTACTTGGCTATGTAAACTTAACAGCCATGTGCATTTAATAGGCATCTTTTGAGCTTGATTCAGAGCTCAGTGAAGTCTTATGGGGTTTGGATCAGGTCCTTTGTGCATGTTTCTTGATCACTGATGCCTATGTTAGCAAAGTATTTTCATTTCCATGGCATCAAAAGCAAGTGTTACGATGGAAATAAATATGATATTAAATTCATGCCCTTTGTCCTGTTGTCTGTGAGGCTGATTTTGGTGCTTATGGGTCATCTGGAATAGATTGCTTCTCATCAGTGTTGCAACAGTTGCACTATCTCTACTAACTGGTTTAGAAAATGAGCGAAGATTAATGCTATTTTTCTTTCTTTTGTTTAAAGCTGAAAACAGAAAAATCTTAAGTGAGCATGAGGTTGAGATGTGTCTCATAAACCTTTTGGGAAATGATAATGATGGAGTTAAAGCTGCAGCTTCCCAAGCAATATCTGCCATGTGTGAGAATTTAGCTAGCAAAAGAGCATTTGGACCCCAGGGTAAGTAAGCTATGAACTTAGAACCCATGCTTTTCCTTTTGCAAGGAAGCATATTATTATTTTGCAGATTGTCATGGTTTATTTAAAACTTCATTTATACAATTATTTTTTTTTCCAAAGGGATTCCCCAGCTAGTACAGTTGCTAAGCAGTGACAATGAAGAAGTAAAAGAATCTGCAGTCGTAGCTTTAGCTAATTTGACAGCAGCCAGTCCTGGTAATGCCAGGTGAGTCTATAATAATCAGATTATTAATTTAAACACTATTATGAACACAAGTGATACTTATGATAATACTTCGATTTAAAAAAAAAAAAGAACTCATGTTGTTCTCATCCTACAATCAGGTCTGTTTGAATTTGTTTGTAAGGCCCATTTTGGTGTTTATGAGTCATCTGGAATAGGTTGCTTTCCATGACTGCTGCAACAGTTACAGTCTCTCTGCTAACACTTGCTTTATCAGGGGATGGTATGAAGCACATGTAATAGAAGCAGAGATATAAATCATGATTTGAAGAGAGCACATGAGGAAAATATGTTTCATAATATAAGTCATTTGATGTTGGATATTTTTTGAAAATCCCAAATCAGTAAGCTGTTCTTTAAAATTTCATTTTTCATGCAAATTTTTAAACTATTTAAGCCCATTTTTGATTGTGATAAATATCAAATATTCTGAGTAACATCAGCACTGCCCTCCTCTTTCTCTTTTTTATTATTTTGCAGGTAATAGAGATACTCGTAATACATTCCCTAAAAACAAACAATTAGCATAACTTCGGTATCCAAAGTAGTTAACAAAGGGAGGTTATTTGGCCATAACTGTATCAACTAAATTCTGCTGTCAGTTGCAGTGTTCTGTTATCTCAACTCTATTAAAAGTTCCATTCAGGGAAAAGAAACAGAGCAGTCTGACGTATAGGAGCAATCACACATAACTAACAAACCATAAAATAAAATTCCTTAAAAGTTTCCTGGAATATTCTCAAGGAAGTTGTAATCCATTCGCAGGCATTCTTTGAAGTGAAAAAAAAGTAAAATAACTCACCAAATAAATTATTTGTTTCAATGTATTGATTCAGCTCTAATAGTCACCAGTATTCACTTAATGTTACCAGATGGAGCCATAATTTGACACAAGAGAATAATATTCTGTTCTCAGATTCACATAGTAGATTTTTTGTCTGATATTCTGCTCTCCTCATGTGCATGACTTTCCAGTTGGTGTCAGTGGGAGTTATACACACATAAAAAGAGAACAGTGCTGGAGTCCAGGGGTCAAACTTTCAGCTCAGCTACAGCTGGTTTTTGTAGTGCAGCCCTTGGAGGCTTCACGTTGTGCAAAGGGAATTTCTGGAGAGTTTTGAGCTGGGGCAGCAGCTTATGCCAACTTCTTCAGTTCCTTTTGCCAAGGAGTTGGTGAGGACGCTGTTTAGCTCAACTGCTAGAACAATTCCGAGACCTCAGGCAGGGAAATATCTGTCTCTGTCCCTCTGAATTATAATGGAGGCTGCATTTCTTTCTTGCTGGGCTAAGAGTTCAGGAAATTGTAAGGGTAGCTTACATACGCTTCTCCCTCCTTGCAAGGCTGCTTGAAGTACAATATGGATGTACCAGATAATCTAATCACAGGTCTTCTGTGAAGATCAGGAAGCAATAATTTACGTTAAATATGTATATTGGATGAATGCCATGTGACTATGTAATTACTTCAAAGCTTCATTTCTAAATCAAAACCATTACTAAGTAATAGATGAGCCCAAGTGTGACTCGGAACTATAAATTAATATATGGAGTTGAACCCTCAGCTGCTACAAATTGGTGTGTTTCCAGCTCGCTAGCTGAGTGTCTGGCCCATATTTATTTTATATTCGCATAATTGAGAAAAAAATAGTTTGGAGAAAATGCATTCCAGATTGAGTTACCATAATCATATTTAATTTTGGAAGATTTTCTCTGTGTGTCTTGTAAACTATTGAAAATAAGTGTGTATATAATGAAGATGCTGATATATGTTTATAATGATATGACTTCTCTGTGTAATTATGTTGACAATATTCGAGTCCCAAATGGGACAAATGAAAGTTGAACCGTTTTATTGGTTATGTATTAGATTCTAGTTATAAGCTGTTCCAGAATATTAAACCATAAAGCTAGTAATAGTATATAAACCTTAAGTGACAAAAACAGCAAAATGGCCACATTAAAGGGAAAAGACTAGAGTTGCTACAAATATGTTTTCACTATCTACTGGCCAGCCAGAGCACAAAGCTAGAGCTGCTTGGGCTCAAATACCTGCACCCTGCCGTGTCCGTGTGGAGGATTTTTGCATGAATTGTATTGATTGAAGTATGTATAGCTTGCCCTTCAGTATGGACTGTATATTACAGAATGCAAAGAAAGGGCAAGATATTGCACATTTGCTGGAGGTTCTTGTTCTTATCAGGGATATTTGATCAAGAAATATTGCTTGACATTAAAAAAACATACAATTCAAAACATAGTGTGCCATTAAGGCTCCCGCAATAGCTCGCTCAGAGGGAGAAAGTCTCCCAGTGATTTATAACAGGGAACAGCGCAGGCAATGGGCAGTGCTGCCCCCACTAACGTGTGTTAACCTGGACCTGGAGGGACTTCCCCCAGCACGGACAGGCCGGGCTGTCCCCACGCCGGCCAGCTGAGGAAGGGGTCGGTAACGGGAGGTTTTGGCTCTGTGTCTGCCAGGAACCGGGCACAGACCGGCCTCTCCTTTCACACGGGTTCCAGGCAACCTCTACTCGGCAAAAATCAACCCATCAATCAGTCAAACGCTTTGGATTCTGCAAGATTGTGACCCAATGTCTTAAGCCTAAGGACGCATGACCCCAGTGCTCTCTGAGTTTCCTTCGTGGCTCACTGTGAAACACAGATTTGCCATCTCATCTCTGCCAGAATGCATAAAAATTATTGTAAATAACCTTAGAGAAATTCCAGCTTTTAAGTATGTGCTGCATATCTGAATTTGTGTGATGCTTTCTTTGGTAACACAATGCTTTCCATTCACAGAAACAGAGTAGTGTAGGAAGAATATAGGCGACAAATGCCTCATTAGTTTTAAGATTCATACTCTTAAATAACACTTTTATCCGAATTTTATCATAATGTTAGCATTTTACTGGTGGTCTATGCTGAAGATAAAGTCAGTGTACACAAGGAAATAATCAGGCTAAGTAAAAATAAAATTGCAAATTGCGCTGCTGTTTAGAATCCCATGTACTTATTCTAACACGTTTTGATTGTAAGGAAATGATTTTGTGATGTTACTTTGAGAATCTATAGCTCTAAAGCTCTTCTTTATGTATGTGTCAGAATTTGTTTCCATGTGTTGACTGCAGGGAAAAGGGGAATTATGTTCAACTGAGAATTTGTGTCCACATAGTGTTTTTTTAATCCACAAGACTAATTTGTCTTATTGAAAACTGTATATAGTTATTTGGACAGCAGCATGCCATTTTAAGGAGTGTGTGAAATCTGCCTTCTTTTGATGTGTCCAAGCATCAGGAAATGCAGGCACAATCACTTCAGTCATATGTATTTTGCACAAATTGAAAAATTATGCACAAATAGAGAAACAGCAGTGCCATCTATTGGACAGAAAAATAAATTATTCTATGCTATAAAGTTAGCTACAGAACAGTCGTGCTTTGCTCTTTGCTTCTATTTTGCTTTTTAAAGTATAAACAGTTATTTTTGCCTTTTATGTATGTAGGACAAGTTAATAATGCTAAATATAATTATTAAATGGTATTAATTAGAAGTAATGTACAGAAATAAGAGCTCAAATGTAAAAGCTGGTCAGGCATTAGCTGATCTGGCCAGTTCTTCAGTATTGTATTAGCATGAATGCCGTTTCTAATAACTGTCTTCATAAATCTGGCAATGTATGAATTCCTTGCATCTGTGGGAGTTACCACTAATGAAAAACATGTGCTCTGTAATTTAGAGCTTTGTCCTGGACATGAAGACCCTCTATACTGCTTGTCATGAATTGTTTATTTTAAATACAAAATTTGTAGCATGCAGATAGAGTTTGGTCTGGGGAAAGCAGAAAGGGGTGGTTTTGTTCAGCTGTCCCAGGGACCACAGGGAGTTGTGGTACCTGATGATCTGGGCAGAATTCTTTTCCTGGGAGTTATAGTTAGTGTCATTTTTCTTATTTGTAAGTAACATATCAGAATTCAGGATAGTAAAATATCATCCCCCAAAAGCATGAAGTTAAAAAGCTTGATGGTGTATGATTTTCTAAATTTTGAACTCTTCACAGGATTCAGTGTACCTAGGCACACCAGCAAAATTATGTCTGTGTAGGTAGTCCTAGGCATCACAGCAGCACCTGAAAGGGTGTTTGAGTCTGCTCCTGTGTATAAAGATTTGCAAGATTTGGACTCTGGAGGCTTGAAACTCGTTGCTTATGGACAGTGCCCAGCAAAGAGAAAGCGAGTTGTTCCCTTGGCTTCCGTGAGCGCCGCATCTGCTCCAAACTGGAATCTGTGCACTGCTCTGTTGACTCAGAGTACATCCTTGGTCTGTCCTGTGTGAATATCGCTCACCATTACGGAGAGTCTCCTTCACAAAAGGGGGTTTTCACCACCTGATAGCAATTCATATTATCTTTATGGAGGGTTCTGCTGTCAAGGAATAAATTTTAAAAAACATCCTGTTCTCTTACATTTTGGATTTTGTTACTAGTCAGTAGTGGCCTGCCCTTACGATTAGTAACAGATAAAATGAGGTCAGTTTTACTTCAATGTTTCACTAAAGTGACATTATCTGTCAGAAACAGGAAAACTTAAGCATAGCTCTTCACTTGCAAGACTTAGGTGGAATCTAATTCATATGAGTATCGATGTTGAAGAACCGGTGCTATATAAGATACTAACAGGAACATATATGAGCCTATGTGAAAATAAACACAAAAATGTCTGGTATGTGAGTGCTAAATTTTAAAACAGAAATAGTAGTAATTTGTAGTATGGATTTTCTTTTCTGATTTACTAGCTCCTCTTTTTAACGGAAGTTTCTATTCCTGAAGAGGGGAATTAAGGGCGGAATTCCACTACCAATATTGTATAAAGGTAATGTGTCTTAATACTGACCCCTAGTGACAGAATTAATTATATTTTTGAGCTACGGTGCAAGGTAAGGGGATTTGGTTGTTTTTTCGTGGTTTGTGTTATTTTGTGGTTTGT